TCTTATGTAATCTCTCAAACTCAACTTCAAAAAGTCCAAGAAATCGAAGACCTTGGTGTAATTTTCAGCTCTAATTGGTCTTTTAACAGTCATATCATTTCTAAATCATACGCTGTACTTGGTTTTCTCAGGCGTCAGAGCTCAATGTTCTCTGACCCCTATACACTTAAATTGTTATACACATCTTTTGTTCGTTCTAAGTTAGAATATGCTTCTTTTATCTGGAGGCAATACCACTCAAACCTAATTAATAGGATTGAAAGGGTTTAGAAGGTTTTTCTTAAAGTTGCCCTCAGAAATCTTAACTTCCGCGAGCCTTTTCCATCGTATAAGTCTCGTTTGCTATTAATAGACCTTAAATCTCTGGAAGCCAGAAGATCTTTGCTATCTCTAACTTTTACCTTTAACTTAATAAATGGTTTGATCGATTGCCCTACGCTCCTAGAGCAGGTCAACTTCAATGTTCCTCTAAGGAATCTTCGCAATCCTCTGCCGTTTTATGGAGGAAATTGTAAAACGGAGTATGCCAGCAATGCTCCTATTTCAAGAGCTTTAAACGAATTCAACACGATCTCGAATCCTATCGACCTAGATTTCTCTCTTCCAAAAAGTTTATTTATTTTTTCTTTGATCTCGAAACTGTAGAGTGCTTTATGTTTTACACGTATCGTCTAAGTAGCTAAATTTTTATCTCTATTCTGTAAGGAACGTCTGTTTCATATGACTGCAATAAATTACAATTACAATTTCTGTCAATCGCGTCTTGTAGGGAGCCTAAGGCTATCTGCACACTTGTCGCCCAGTCATAGTTGCGTTATCGTCTCGCCTGAAATTTTGAGCCGAACACATGCATTTCAAAGGAGATCTGCACACTTGTCGTTATCGGCTAGTTATTGGCAAATCGTAGAAGATGCAGAAACGGATAAGTATGGCACTGTCGTTTGCTAATCGTTGTGCACGCATTGTTTGTTTACATTTTATGGGGAAAAATTAGTGAAAAAGTGAATACTTGCATAAAAATTAGTATTTTTTGCACAAACTCTGTGGAAATTATTAAAAAGTGGATAATTGCAATAAATGTGAGCGTTTATATAAAATATGACGAAATTGTAAAAAGTCCGTGTGCATGCACAAAACACATTTCAGGAAAAGAAAAGAGGAGATATTACTCAAAAATTATCTCTAGAATTGTTGCAGCATAGTCTGTATTTTAAAAATTGCAGGTTTTTGTAAATATTTCGCGAAAATATCAACCAGAAAAACAGGAAATACCTGCTGCAAGTGAATTTTTAGTCGCCAAATGTATTGAAATTTCACGACCGAGTGTGCAAAAGTGTAGTCGTCATGCAATCGTTGCATCATGATTGTGACGATGAAGCAACTATGATTGGACGATCAATGTGCAGAAAGCCTAACAATGCGCAAACTGAGCATAAACAATAGCAAAGGGTGCAATAACTGTGTACATCCAAAGCTAAAATTCTAACAATAACTTAGAATTGTTAACTGAAATTAATTTTCCAATATATTCTTCCAAAGCAGCTTCCATCGTCGAAAAATCTACAAGCTGCAATTCTTGGTCCCGCAAGAATTCTAAACAGAGACCCAAAATAATTATTATCCTAATATTTGAAATCAAGAACGTCGCCTTGTTTTAAGAGGAATTCTTTTCGTCTTTGTATAATAATTATTTACGAGAAATATCCTTTTCGTCTCGCGGGACGATTATTTTCAGATGGAAATTATTTACGTCTTTTCATAAAAATTATATGGGATTTTTATATTTCTCGTCTCTCGAAACGTTTATTTCAAGACGAAAATTATTTACGTCTTCTCATAATAATTATGTGGGACTTTTATCTTTTCACCATAATTATATACGACTTAAATTTTTCTCGTCTCTCGTGACGTTTATTTCAAAATGACAATGGGCCTCCGCACACTGGACTTCTCAGTCCGCTTAAAACCGGTTTTGTGTGGATAGGAGGGGGAAGGGAGTTCGAGTTTACCTCGCTCATTTCAGTCCGCGAAAATCGCGGATTGAACACATAGACATGTTTTCTATTTCGTTTTGTTTGCACCTACTGGGAAAATACGCAAGCACCTTACGAGGTAAGCCATGTTTTCTTTCAGTTTTTAGTACCAAAATTGTCATCATGGCCAATGTCGTCTACTAATAAAGCGCAAAATGAGCACCTCCGACGACACATTACGTTGTCAGTTACAAAATAACGTGCAGCCGAAGTTATTTTCAAGCACCGAACTACTCCGAGCGACTGCTCTGCATTACACGTAACTTACTTTGTAAAGCGGCTCAGAAGTATGTCTGATCCCAAATGTATCTATGTATGTATGTAATGTGTCGTCGGAGGTGTTCATTTTGTGCTTTACTAGTAGATGACATTGGCCATGATGACAATTTTGGTACTAAAAACTGAAAGAAAACATGGCTTACCTCGTTAGGTGCTTACCTATTTACCCAGTGGGCATGTGCCACATGCACTAACACAATCATGCGTAGCTCATGTATACAAAACTGAAACCTGTTTTTGGCCGACTGACCAGTCCAGTGTGCGTTCGAGGGGTGGACTGCTCAGTCCGACTGAGCAGGCTAGTGTGCTCAGGCCTAATGATTTATAGCCGACAGTATCGAGTCTTAAAACATCGATAGTATTTTTGTAAAACACAAACCATCGATATATCGACGATATTTTTCTTCTATCGCTTAATGCAGAAAATAAAAACAAAGTAAATGCGTTATTTCACAACGGTTCTAAAATTTTACTGAAAAAGATTGCTCAGAATGCTGCCAGTGGTAAATGAAATTGGCTTAGATCCTGAAAATAGGAAATTGGTTTCAGCAGAATCAACTAGTTTGGCTATTTCACAAAAGATCAATCTTTATGATGGCGCGCACTGCAGCACTGGAATAAAAGTAAAGGACGTATCTGAAATAAATAACTGCAACATTTTAGGTGCTAATGTTGAGGAAAATGAAAACCGAGATTATCTCAAGCGCGATTCATCTTGTGCAGATAAAAACGACTCAAAGCGCGTCAGGCTGTCGGATGACATCGATGCTTCAATTGAAACCTATGAAGCCGAGAAAAATACAAGTATATTTGAAAACAAAAACGCCGACACTTCGAGTAATTCTGATCAAGAACGTGTAAACGGTCACGGAGGTAACGGATTAGTATTTGAAATTAAATCCGAACCTTTTGTTGAGAGCAATGAAGGGGGAAACATTAACGACATGTGTCAATCTGGTTCTGGCTCTACCAGTACAATTGATATAAAACGAGCTGTTAAGATAGAGAAAGCCGATGCTTGCTCTTCTTCTTCGCGAGAATCTTGTAGATTTGGGATTCGTTGCTATAGGTATTATATTAATTTTAATCCGTGGCTAAATACGTCATAAACTTTTTATGCAGACGTAACCCAATGCACCGAATAGAAGAAGCGCATCCCGGTGACAATGACTACAAACGGCCAAATTATCCACCCCCTCCTAAGGGCACACCTGACTGTCCATACGGTAGCCTTTGTTATCGTCGGAATCCAGCACATTTCCAGCATTTCAATCATCCACCAGAAAGTAAAATAAATTAGTACAATACATTTGCTTCAATCGATTCATCCAAAATAATTATTGAATAAATTCGCATTTAGAATAAATAATTTCTTTTTTTATATGTTTACTCGAATTTGGTTTCTTCTTCAAGCTAACTTTGAGCAAAATTACAAAAATTACCGACTAAGGGAACGGCAACGTCAGCATGAACAGGATGAGGATGCTCTTAACTCAAGTACTAACGGCTGTGTATTGGACGACGATTATGATTTGGATGAGCCGTTTAGTAACGACGAGGAATTTGATTCGGACTATCTGCCTAATAGCATTGATGAGGATGATGATGATGATTATGATTCTTGTGATAAAGTGGAAGAATAAATAATCGATGACCTATTTTAAATCGCTATATTTTTTTATTTATAGAGTACATCATATCGTCGCTACCATGTCAAACTATCGAATGTGAAAATCGGTACTTTTCAGGAGCAAAGAAACTGTTGTAAAAATCTTGTCATTAGGAAAATGTGCCGGATTCGACACTTTGTTAAAGGCAATCAGCCCTATTCTGCATTTCGATTACGTTCCCGCATTCCGCTCCGCTGGAATCGAACTTAGATATTCTGCGTTACGATCGAAACGAAAGAAGAAGAGGAAGACAGAAAACATCTTTCGAAATTAGCTGTTTGCCTAGGAATCTGTGAAATCGAAACAAAACAAAGAGATATTTGCCACCAAACTATAGCAGCACATGAAGTTAAAGTTTCTAAATATTTTAAAATAACTAAATATACGTAGCATCACTGTAATTTAAAAATAAAATTTAAGTGGATACATAATTATAATGAAATCCATAGCCGCGGCGTTATTGCTTGAAGAGAAGAACGAGTCCCAGATTGCTGATGCGGAAGTTGAAAGGCGGAGATTTAGGGACATGTTTGCTCTTTTTTTAGATGCGTGAAGAGTCATAAGGAATTCATCTTGTACTCTATTACTCATCGTTTAAAGTCAGTGAAATTATAAACGTTGTTTAGAGCAGTCCACAACATTTGCATTTACTACAGAGTGGAAAATTTTAACTCAAACGAATCCCATTTTAAAAGCCGTCAGGAGGAGGGGAAGAACAAAGCTTATCTTTCCCTAGCAAATCGAATTCGAGACAACATACGCACCTCTTTTTAAAAAGTTAGTAAAAACGAGTGCAATAATAAAAACATCTTTTTTATATAACTTCACATTTTATGTATGTATGTATCTATGTGCATACATCGATTAATTTTATATAAAAAGAATAAATTGTATTCAGTGCATTTCACAGTCTTATTTATAGATAATGTAAACAAAAACGCCTGGACTTCCACTTTGAAAACGTCGCGCAATATACCTTTTGGTTGCCATTATTTGAGCCAATTTTTCGTATTGCCCGTACGTATTACCGCTCGCGAAAACACAGAAATCGAGAAAATTCATTTATGATGACTTAGAATCATGCATAGTATATTTTACTTAAATTTTTTATAAAAGTTTATTATTTAAACCCACGAAAATAGCAATTGAAACGTTCTCCGTCAACAAATTTGCAACTTAGAAAAACGGAACTACGATCGAAATGTAGAATAGGTATAATCGTAAGATTGATCGAAAGGAAACGGAACGCAGAATACCAAAGTTGCCAAACGGAGAAAATTTCGATTCGAGTCGAAATGCAGAATAGGGCTGAATATCCTCTGCTTCTATGGCTAGACATTCGACGATTTGCCAAGTTGCGTATCATTCTAAACGCATGCGCAAGATATCCTAAATGAAAAGGTATTTTTGCACATTCGATAGTTTGACATGGCAGCGACGATATTTCTGTTCTATGTTTGTCTCCAACGGCTGGATGTATTTTGAAAGATCATGTTAACATATTGCTCACTTTTTTAAATAGCTCTCACAATTAAAAAAAAACGGACCCTCGTATATCGTCCCGTTTCTGCCTTAACCTCGTATCTGCAATAGAAGTATTTTAGAGAGTGTAAGAAAAAATGCTTAATTCCTTCCCCTAGGATACAATAAACGCATTTTTTACTTAATGTTTCTGGTTCCACTAACAGTAGTGAGCAACCTCATTAAGTCTTTGTTCTATTTTCAAATAGTGTGATGCTTATACAGCTGTTATAAGTGGTAATATCAGTTTTCCCAAAAATTGTAGATACGTGGTTGAGGCAGAAACGGGACGATATGGGTTTTGGTACAGGTTAAAAATTTCAAATTTTCATTCCTTTAAACTTAAGTTACTGCAAAGTTTTATTAGAAGAAGAAAGAGTTATTTGCCCAGAGAGAGCGCTAAACGCTCTTTCATATGCAATTACATAATAAATTAAATTTAATATATTCACATTGGAGCGACATAATCAAATTTATGATTTCTAAATAAGTCTTCAATAGATCTTAAAAATTGATATTTCTTACGAATAACAGAATACTTGGTACTTTTAAAAATGATATGATTACCGTCTTCACAAACATTACAAATTTCACAATTTACATACATCAGATTCAATGGCCCCTATTATGAGTTGCATTCGATCTTCGACTGTGGTCGAAAGTGCTGATCGAACGAATTTTCATTTGGTATTATGACGCTCATTCCATGAAGAATAGCGCTATTGTGAATTTCGCTCGTTTAGGTTTTTCACAATAGTATATTTTTTACCGCTGAAAAGCTTTGTTTACATATGTACATATGTAAATTTGTGCAAATTAATATGAAATAAAAAAGAAAGGGAGTATAAAAGCGTGGTAAAAAAAAAAATAATTAGAACAACGGAGTTCTGGTTGAACGATTCGTCAGAGGATGAGGGCTTAAAAAACTGGCCAAGAGTAGAAAACGAGAGAGTTTAAGTGCAGTCTTTCGAATATATTTTGACATACAATATATTTAAGAAATTTTGTGATCCAAATCTATTTAAAATATATTAAAACTATAAACAGCTCCATGATTTTGTTTTCAGAGATCGTGCCAACAGCGTATAGGGATTTTCTTTCATATGTAAAACCATACTTTCGAGCTTGTGTTTACTATTCACGACGTTAGAACTGCTTGAAATTAATATAAATTGTTTAAAATTAGTGTCTAGCCGCCAAAAAGTAAGTACAGTTTCATAAGTAAAAACACTATCAGCTGATTGCCAGAAAATGCCTACAGCTGAGATCACCTGTTTTTTGGCATGTGCTCTTATCTTTTACGATTTTTTTCATTTCTATTACAATTTCTTTTATTTCTATTACAATTTATTCAAAATACACTAGCACACTGAACCAAAAACACCAATACGCTAACCAAAAACACACCTAGAGCCTGCCAAACACACACCTACAGCCTGCCAGAAAAAAACGGTAAGAAGAAGGGTTACTTTACTTATGGAACTGTACGATGACTTCGATACACCAACGAAAGCAAAATTCTGTTCGACAAAAAACTCGAAACTCAACGACACGCTTGCATAGTTCATAATGGCTGCGTTTCTTTATACATTCCGGATAATCCCACTTCACAGCCGGAATAAACAGAATTCGTTTGAAATATGCGTTAACATATCATCAGGAACGTTATAAAGAATAAGTAAACAGAAAAGTTTATTCCAAACGTTCAGAATTAATAAAGAAATGCAGCCAACACGAATTTCACTTTCGATCTTCGATAGCCAGTGAATTTAATTTGATAGTTTTTTTTTGTGTGTTATTATCATGACTACTAAGTATGTACTGCAATTGTTGAATTGTTACCCTTTTCTAAATGAAAATAAATAATTACACAAATTGCACAAATTCAATACGTACACATATTTCCATTGAATACAAGGTATAAAAAGTTTTCTGAACTTAATTTGTCTGAACTTAAATTGTAAATTTCTGGATTTGAATTGTAATTTTCTGAATTTGAAATGGAAATTCTGAATTAGAAATGTAACTTTCTGAATTTGAATTGCAACTTTCTGAATTTAAAATGGAAATTCTGAATTTGAATTGTTACTTTCTGAATATGAATTGTAATTTTCTGAATTTGAAATGTAGTTTTCTGAATTTGAAATGGAAATTCTGAACTTGAATTGTAACTTTCTGAATTTAAATTGCAGCTTTCTGAACTAAAACTGAAAAAGGTGTAGAATTTGCTAATATCATCACAAAAATCGCCGTTTTTTAAGATTTTCGCTATTAATTCTTTTTATAAATCATATATTTTACTATTTAACACAATAAAACCACGGTGGTCGGACCATAAATACTCGGTTACCAAACGTATCCCCAAAATTTTTCGTGGGGTTATTTCTTTTTGTAGATAGTATGCGTTCTAAATATGAAAAGAATCGGTCTATAAATACAGATTTTTAAAATATCTCGACTCCTGCGCCACCTATCGGATTAACTCATATTTTGTATTTCATTGTCATCGGGTTCTGAGCCAACCGTGAAGTTTCAACTCTCTAGGTCATCGGGAAGTTGGTAATAAATTAATTGCAAAATTTGCCCCTAGCAATCATACATACATACAGAGGAAGTTAAATTAAAACTTGTAAAAATACAAGTCCAATTATGAAAATTTAATTATGATTTTTATCACAAAGATCATAGCCGTTACGGTCCTTGGTTAAACTGACTCTCGTTGTTTGGGAAGACTTTTTCTTCCAATGCAAATTTAAAATAAAAAGTTTTCTGAATTTAATTTGATATTTTCTGAACTTAAATTATAAATTTCTAAATTAGAATTGGAAATTTCTGAACTTCAATTGTAACTTTCTGAATTTGAAATGAAAGTTTCTGAATTTGAAATGGAAATTCTGAATATGAATTGTAACTTTCTGAATTTAAATTGCAACTTTCTGAATTTAAAATGGAAACTCTGAATATGAATTATAACTTTCTGAATTTGAACTGGAAATTCTGAATTCGAAATAGAAATTCTGAATATGAATTGTAATTTTCTGAATTTGAAATGGAAATTCTGAATTCAAAATGGAAATTCTGAACTTGAATTGTAACTTTCTGAATTTAAATTGCAACTTTCTGAACTTAAACTGAAAAAGGTGTAGTTGTTGGTCTAGTAGCCATGGCGCAGCATAATACTTTTTTTGTGTATAGCGATTAATCTCAGAATACAGAAAAGCGCAGATAAGATCTGAATTTGGATACTTTTTTGACATGTACATTTCGAAGTAATTGGCAACTTTGCTCCAATCGCCCGATTTACGTGATTCTAGTCATCGTACAGTTCCATAATAAATGCATGGTGGAATCATGATAAAAATATAGTAAGGTAGAACCGCTGAGAGTTAACTAACCAAAACCACACCTACAGCCTGTCAGAAAAAACTGAAATTAGTCAAGAATGTACACCTACCGGTACGTAAACCCGAGTCAGCTG